TTGAAGGTATTCGATTCAGTACCTACCAGTGGTAGCAGAGAAAGGGGAAGACTACTACTCCATTGGAGAGATCGGATGGAGAGGGACTTGGTAAGTGTATTTGGTAACTCGAATTAACGCCAAATAGCGAAGAGAAGAAACAGCTGTCGTGTTATTGGCTATAACCGCGTAAGCGCAGTCTAGGCCAGTGAAGAAGAAAAGAAGAAGAAGAAAATTCGAGTGTATCCATCTAATGACAATAATATGTTTAGATTTAGAGATTTTTTACTGTGATTATTTCAAAATCCCATGGTACTAATCTAAGTTACTAATTACCGTTCTCTCCTGACTTACTTAAACTTTTTTTTATGATGAAATAACTATATTCGACGAACGAGCTATTTTTAGTAAATTACTGAATTTGTAAAAACATAAAATCTCTGCAAAATTTTCATGATATTATATTAACAGAGGTTACCATCGAAAACATGAAAATTTTAAAACGAGCATCTGGAATGTTCCAATTACCCTTTCGTACCAAAACAGGATTAGCGATCGCATACGCTATGGGTTATAGCGTTATATGGGTTTCCTCGAGCAAACAAAGACAAATTTATTTATTTTTGTTTTCATATAAAGAAATAAAGAGTTTATTAAAATTTTATATTATTCTAAAGAAACATATTTTACAAACAATTGGTGTACTTTTCAACCAAATTTTTTGATATTTGACTAAATACAAAATATTTCTTAGAAGAACTTGAGTTTGATCGGCCAGTTTGTGTGGGAGCTGTATGGTGTTGCGGTCCCATAACGGTGTTTCCGACAAAAGAACACTTTGAGTATGTGTGCGAGGTTTCAGATCGATATCTCAAACACTTACGGTTAAGTTCGCTTATATAAGTATATGGGTCATACAGACGGACAGACGAACATAGCAAAGTTAAAAAAATCGGCACAGCTCGTCACGCTGTTCATTGGTTGTTAATGGTGTCTTCGCTCAAGGCTCTTATTAGATCCATTTATGTAAATAGAGAACACATCACATCTTTTGGGAATGCATGTGATGGAGGTAAGGGCATAATAGATCATAGGTGGTGGTGCAAAACTCTTCAAATTTCCATTCTATTCTATTCTATGGAGTTTCCAACGTTTTCTTCTAATATGACAAACTAAATCGAAAACTCAATATATTCTGTTCGAGGTATACAAATTATTTATATTTACAAATTGGAAAAAACGATACTTTTCTATCACCACTGAAAGTATAATTGAATTAAAGTACTTTTTAAGCCACACTAATCATATTGCCGCTGTCCACTCTACATATACAAACTATTAAATAAGCAAAAACGGTTATATGGTTTTCTTAGTCAATCAGTTCGCTTGCATGCCACTAAGCAATTAAATTAATAAGTTGTGTTTTCGAAACTTTAAGTTACAGTGTGACTAAAGCTGAATATTAAATGGAAAATAAGCAGATAGATGATAGCAAAAATAAAGGTTTGTAGAAACATTCGAAATGCGTTAACTACTTCGAGTGAAAAAAATTTGAATAAATTGTGAAAAGTTCATGGAACGGAAAATCTGAGGAAGAAATATGCTTAATTTTTGATAAATAACAAAAAAATTACGCTATACATTTTAAATAAATATTATTTTAAAATAAATAAAAAAAATAAAATAACAAATATTATTTTAAAATAAAAAATATTTCTCCGCATTCTAGCACCGTTTTTCGGCGCTCGGCATGTGCAATGTATTCTCATATTTCTCGGAGCCGCAGCTGCGTTCGCTCAACGCGTAAATCTCTCGGTAGCGATAGTAGCAATGATGGATAAGAATTCCACAAACCCCAATTTTGAGGTATGAAAACTTAAAAGAAAATTAAATATTTTTTCATAAGCATAATTTTTTACGCAAGGAGTACCAATGGTCCGAGCAGACAAAATCCTACCTGCTCAGCAGTTTCTTTTGGGGCTATTTTGTGACACAAATACCGGGCAGTCAGTTGGCGCGCAAATTTGGTGGTAAAATAACGCTGCTCCTTAGCATAGTACTAAGTGGACTTTTGGCTTTGCTCACGCCGCTAAGCGTACGTTTGGGCGATTGGCAACTGCTCTTTGCGCTGCGTTTGTGTCAAGGTCTCTTACAGGGTAGCACATTTTCATCGACACACACACTACTCTCCAAATGGATACCAGCCGAGGAGCGCAGCTCACTTGGCACCTTTTGCTACAGCGGTATGGCTTTTGGTACTGTGCTGATAATGTTCGTCAGCGGTTGGATTGCCTCTTCCACATTCGGTTGGCCAGGCATATTCTATTTTGCTGGCTTACTCAGCGTAATTTGGGGTTTCGTTTGGTACTTTGTCGGCGCTAACACACCAAGCGAATGCAAATCAATGACTGAAGCGGAGCGTTTGTATATTGAAGCCGCAATTGCTAAACCGGAGCATGAGCAAGCAACCATGAAGACACCTTGGTTGAAGATACTCAGCTCTGCGCCTTTCTGGGTGATATTGCTGACGCAGAGCACCTACGCATGGGGCTATTGGACAATGATGACACAAATCCCCTCATATATGAAGAGCATACTGGGACAAGATATCCAGAGCAATTCGCTCATGTCGGCAGCGCCTTATCTGGCTGATTTGTTGTTGACATTCGTATTTTGTTTTTTATCTGATTTTTTGATTAAACGTGGCTACATCAGTATTATTGTCAGTCGGAAACTGTTCAACACTATCGGATTTTGGGTGCCCATAGTACCGCTCATACTACTCGGCTATATGGGCGCCGATCAGAGCGAGTTGGCACTGGTTTTGCTGGTGATTGCTGTTGGTGTGAATTCGGCCGGCAATTTGGGTTTCCTCATCAATCATATTGATTTATCCCCCAACTTTGCTGGTGTCCTTATGGGCATGGCGAATAGTGCGGGAAATATTATGAGCTTATTGGCCCCACTGGCGGTGGGCTTGATTGTCACAGATGCGGTTCGTATATTTTCTATTTATTTCTACATAGAAAGCTTACTTTTTTTATTAAACGGCCTGCATTTACAGAAAAATGTGCTGCAATGGCGTTTTGTGTTTTACATTGCTAGCGGCATGTACTTCGTTGGCAATTTATTGTTCATCTTGTTTGGCCAGGCGAAAATCCAGGTGTGGAACTATCCTAAAACACAGCATCCACAGCAGGATGAGCGCGTTAGTATTTGACTGGAAACTATCAAAATTGAGACAGAGAGTATGTCAAGACAAGTCTGGCCTTTTTCCCATTGAACGCTGCCGTATGATTGACTCTAGAATTGCTCTAGTAGCGATCGTTGCTGTCTTCAGAAGCCTAAATTTGAAAATCTAAAAAAAAAAAAAAAAAAAAAAAAAATCAACTCAAACGAACATTTAGAATCGGTTATGTTAATAAAACTGTTGATAACCATATTGACACATTCTTATCGAACATAAAAATACGGTTTTATTCAATGTTATTTAATGTTTTCGTCATAACACAGTATTTGCACAGCAGAAGTGAGCGCATTATCACGTGTCAGAGCTAAAAGATTGTAGTAGTTTAGTCAATAAGCCACTTCAGACTAGTAAAAGTGTTTCCACTCAAGATGATCTAGGTTACTTAAATGTTATTAAATGTTTGATATGAACTATTTATTTCACAAAACAAAAAAAAAAAAAAAAAAAACACTACATTACCGTTGTAAAGAACATCTGCCAAATCGCTTCGAACAGCTGTTTGAGGAGGTGTGAGTCGAGCACGACGGGGGCGCTGAACTAGCGTTTCCCCGCCAATTTAATGCTATGCCTAAAGTAAGACGAAACCGATGTCATACTGATCTCTAGGAACCGCGACTGATCAGCAACGGCATCTCTAGATTGTGGACGAATAGTCATAAGTTACTGGCGGCCAACGAAGCAAGTAGAACCAGAGGCTGTATAATGGTCCGAAATTAATTAACAGTATTTTTTTTTTTTTTACCCAATTTCAGTAATGCTGATGTGGTGACAGCAAAACTGTAGTACGACGCCGGAAGATTTTCGTTAATCTCGACTGTAGGCTGTAGGCACGACGATGGGGTGAAACCATCTTCCTTCCTATTTAGCAAAGCCCCGGCTGATGCATCACAAAGAGGAACAAGTATCTGAACACTCCGAAATCCGCCGATACTTTAATTTCATACCGGATCACTTGGATTGGTAAGATTGGGAATTTTAGCAGATGTATCTGCTAAAGCTGTATAGAAAATGAGGTAGAAAGAACTCAACACTTCTTACTTGACTGGCCCGTGACTTAAGCACTTGAGAGGACACAACTTCAGACATCCCACCCAATTGCCGGGAGTGAAAATTAAACGCCTGTGCAAATTTATACTGGCTAAAAAGCGTTTTGCTAATTTATAAGCTCGAACACAGGAGTTATTCTTTTCTATGGCTTCACAAAAGACTAAATATTGCAGTCCGTGCGAACTCCTTAGATCAGCCATCTAACTGAAACTAACCTAACCTAGTATTGTTTGCCCATATTAGTATGTGTTGAAATATGGCATGAAGCACCCTGTAGTTGTGATTGAGTTATTTGTTTTTGTTTACAATATTTCCAAGCGTACATATCTGAAAAAGCAAAATTTACAAAAGTATATAAATAGTAAAAATATTTGTTTTGATTTTTAGAAAAAGTTCTGAAATCTCAGAAGCTAATATGGTTAAACACAATGAGCTAACAAGCAATGCTATAAGTGGTGAGAGAGCAGGTGAGTTGAAGCGCTGACATCTTCAGAGATCTTTTCTCAGTAAAAATTACCACAAGGCATTTACAACTTGATCTTTGAGCCGGAAATATCTGTATGGAAAAAATTAGAAAACTATCAGCAGAGATTTCGAAATCAGGTGTGAGTACAGAAATTTCTAGATTATTTTCAAGAAGCGTGAAGATTCTACTGATAAACATGAATCGTATAAAAAAACTAAAAGGCTATGAGAAGTATATATTTTTACAAAACTCAGCAAATTTCGTGCGGTTTAATCCGAAGATTTTGTTTATTAGTCTTGCCGTATAAATTTAATAAGATTCTTAAATCATGCTGTTAAATTTCTTCTTCTACATAAGCCAAAACGGTTCCATCAGCTTCCCTTCGAACTTAATTAAGATTTTGATTTCGCTTCGTTTAAATATTGGTTCCTCTTTACAAGAAAGCACAGCAATGTAAAAAAGCAGAAAAGAAATTGTTTTCAACTTTATCCAGCTACTTACCAAACTGTTTTGAACATCGCGCCTCTCGTACTCCCTCAATAGTTCTTGTGAAAGTTTTATGCCGGGCAATCTGATCGGGTGTCCGTAATTGGTAGGATAGCGAAAATTAGTAAAACTTGCTTGCCGTCTTTCAAATGGCATGTTCAATATTTTTTGTTTTGAAAAATAATTTTTGAAAAATATAATTTTGACATTTTTTATTTTATTTTTTTTTTTTTTGTGGAAAAACTGAAGGCAGCTGAAAACTGATTTTCAAAATCGCAGGTTTTTCTTGGATGATACAAGCATTTGCTGCAGTTTGTATACTAAGTTAAATTAATTGTCTGTAGTGTGAGTATTTTAGGCTAGGTACCCACAAACACCACCTTGAATAGGCGAAATTCCGAAACTTTTTGATAGATTTCATTTTCAAAATTATAAATATTTTTTCTGAACAAACGTACATAAATAAAATTCTCTCGAAGCGTAATCAAAATTTTTTGTTGTGCTTCTTCGTAAATATTTGGCTACAACCAACTGTTAATTCTGCTGTGGGCAACATGCAGTCGATCGGCTTGGAGATAATACGCAATGGAAAGCGCTACAATGTTTTAAAGCTCTTGCGGTGAGCCTGCTCTTTCAAAATTTCGCAATTTCACATAATAAATCGCAAAAAAAAACTTTTCCACAGCGAACAAATCTGGGGCAACCGTATACATAGATTGGGCAGAAAATCGGTATGATTTGTAGCAAAAAAAAAAAAAAAAAAAAAAAAAAAAAAAAAAAAAAAAGCAAAAAAAAAAAAAAAAAAAAAAAAAACACAAAAAAAAAAAAAAACGGTATTACTTTGATAATTGTAGTTTGTTTGCTTAACAGGATCGTAAGGAGCTCGCGGACATCTACCGAAAATTGGAGAAGAAGAAAATGAAACTCGAGAAGCAGATCTATCTGATTGAATATGAGATACACAAATTCGAGGAGTTGGAGAAATGTAATCGCCGCAAATCGTTAAAAGTAAATTTTAAGTAAAGTGGAATATCGGTCCTTCAAAGTCTATTAGTAGAAAAAATGTTTATTGGTAGGTTTCTTAGTGTCAATGTTTGTGCGTTTTTGTAAAAGGGGAAAAGCGTGTGATTTGAGAATTTGAGAATTTTGCAAATAATTTTGGTAAGAAAGCGTTAAGTTTGTTTGAGTTGATTTGACAAAAATCTCTTATTTACTTAACGATCATATACTATATGAGTATAAGTATGTGTTTTGAAATATAAATTATAGTCACTTTAGAAAGTGTTTAAACATTTGTAATCATCGTTTGTTTAATATCTAGTAATAAATTTGATTATATTACAAATGTTTCATATATGGAACTTTAGTCTTTGAATTTAATAAGCAGTTTTGATAAGCTTTATTCAGTTATCGGAAATTTCACATTTCCCCTTTTCTTATCGAATATGAAAGAATTTTATTCTTTGCAGTAGTTTGGTTTATTGGCTTCGGAGGTCTGTATAGATTTTCTTCTAAATAACCTTAGATTAAAACTTTACACTTAAGTAGTTCGGCTAACTACAATTATTTAGGTGTAAAAACCTTGCTAAGTACACTACCCTACATTTGGGGTGAAAATCGTAGCTCACGCGAAATTTTTGGTCTTTACAAAAAATTTTGTTTTTCTTATTTGGGGATTATGAAATTGTGCTTGTATCAATACTATGTTTTCCAAATATCGAAATGTTGATGAGTTTTAGTGTGTTATTTATTTACTTACTTAAGTCTATGAATATTAATTCTTACATACTATTAGAAAATTATGACTTATAGAAAATAAAATTACAATAAAACAAATAGATAACTTAGCAAAAAAACAGAATTAAAGATGCTAATGAAGGAAGCCCTAGAGTAAGAAAAATCAAGTAGAACTTTCTCAAAAATCGAGCCAAAAATTCAGTTTTCAGTTGATTTCTTTGCCCCTGTCCACTTTCTAAGTTAAGGTTTGAACTAAAACACGTATTTTTTCAGCTTAGAAGATCCTGCAAAGAGTTAACCTGCCAACGCAGGCACATCCTTCTTCCGAAAAAAATTAAAGGCAGAGAAGGGACCGTCACTTGAAGACTTAAGGCGTAATAGCAATTAACGAGACTCATGATGGTATGGCGTCAATAAACTGTGAGGAGCGGAGGACAAATTTAAGAAAAATCTTTGGAACGCGTTCCCTCCCGTTAATTGAGAATAGACAATATGGTCTACAGAGGAACACAGCATATTTCAAGATGGAACGAACAAAATATGTAAGGAATAATTTTAAAATACAGGCGTGGGAAAATTTGGGAGCATTTCGACGGACAAAGCCAAGCACATGCCATAGTTAGATGTGATATAATTGATGTGATTGGTGAAGGAAAATCTATTGCCAAAGATTACCCCAAGATCATTGATTTCAGTTACACATTTTATCATTAAATTTGAGAGAATCGAATGACACCCTATCGCCAATATCAACACAACATCTATTGTGCAAATATGACTTGATCCACAGCAAGAAGACTGAGTGAAAACCGAAAGAGCATAACTTTTTAATTAGAATATTGTGTGAAACTTTATCAAAAGCTTTAGAGAAATCTGAAACAAAATATACTTTAAATCCAGCGGAGTAGGTAAACATGCGATAATCACTAATCAACTAAATTTGACACAGAGATAAACCCGTGCTGATTAACATTAATGATTGAATTAACTACAAAAAATAACTTATATTTAACAGAGCACTCAGACATTTTTGGCCTGTAATTGAAGGCTACATGTTTACCGCCTTTAAGGAAAGGGGTAACGAATCTCAATTTCCAGTATGAAAGTTACCAGATGACAGAGACTTATTGGATAAAAGCCTCAGAGGACAGACAAAGGCAGAACAATCAGACCAATTCTGAAAGAAGACTTGGCTTGTAACAAATAACATTGGCAAAATAAGACGGGATCACTGCATCAGGAGAAGATCTTTGTATAGTGCAGTAGAAGATCGCGTGTAACTCGAAACCAATTTATTTTCTCCCCGTCTGTTTTACTATGTTATTTTAATATAGTACATACATAAATATAACCAAAATTTGCGTTCTTTTTAGTCTTTTGGTAGCTGCTGTCGACTTACATACATACATATCTAGGCGATCAGAAAGATGGCAAAGATTTGTGAGCTTTGTATGTTGAAGGACGAGGATTACTAGTCCATCTTGTAAGCCATTAATGAAATAAAATACAAATAAAAATAACCTAAGGACTTCCAAACATTGAAAAAAAATAATAATTTCGAAACGGAAGATCTTCGATAAAAATACTTCGCTTGCAACTACAATTATATTAAGGAGTTAGAAGGCAGTAAAAACCGAATTTTCGGAAAAATTTTCGATTAGTTATTAAAACATGTGTACATTTAAAGATCGGGTGGAGAATTTGTGACTGGGTATTTCATGTTTTAAAGATAAGAAATGCTCTCGGTAAGGTATGGCCTTAAGTGGATTTAAACGCACTTTCAACAGGAACTCAACATTAGATTATTATGTTATAAGTTTGTCTTTTAACAAAAGCTTACAAAATTAACCAAATATCTCTTCAATTATTGAATTATGTTTACGTGTTTACTCTCTTTGGATTTCATGCATATGTAACTATGCACTTTGCAATCTTAAAAAGGCAACAATAACTTTTTACTATAACATACTTTATAATTTTATTAATACACAAATAATTTAAAACAAAATACACATTAGAAACTAACAATCTGTAATATATAAAAAATAAAATTATGACAAGGATACTGTTACGTTAACCATTCTCCAAGTTATGTATTTCCCGTTCCATATTGTAGATAGTCTTCTCGAGTTTAATTTCCTGCCTCTCCAATAGTCTGTACCATTTTAGAAGCATTTTACGTTCCTGGAAAGGAATATACAAAATAAAATTTAGCAGACACCAAATTTTTTTCGTTACGGTGGGGCAATTTGTTGCATAGAAACCTACAGATTTAGTTTCTTTCACTTTTCCAGAATTATTACTTAAGACAGTTTTATGAGAGCAACGTTAAGACTATTTACAATTCCCGTTACAAAAAACCATATAGCAAACAGCCCTACTGATGGACAGAGCAGCAGAGGTGGATACTTACTTTCTCAGCAAACTGTCCGCGCTTGCAGCCCCAAATGTGTTCGCTGTAGTAAAAAAAATAGTTCTTTTACTTTGGCAACATATTTGATACCAATATTTATAATCAATCACTCACCGCAGCAATTCCAGCACAGTGGTATTGTTAAATCGCTTGTCTTTAAGCTGCAGTCCAATCGATTTCATGTCAGCTGATCAGCAATTGTTGCCTTCTTCATCTAAGTTAACTTAAATTAATCCAGCGAGAAATGTTTCTGAAATGCGATTCAGAGTTTGCATACAATTTGCAAATAATCGCTCCTTAATTGCACTAAAAATTTAGTTTTTACAAAATTTTACTGAAATATTTGTATTTTTATTATTTACAACCAGCTCTGTTGACAAAATTCAATAAATATGCATATGAGTGAAATAAAAAACATTACTCATTTGTGTAATTCGATTATAATTTTTAAGGCGAAGTCAAAGTTTATGGAGCCCAAAGTTACACCGTTAGGTGAACTGACTCTTTTTGACAGCTGAGCGGCGAGACTTTGTTTAATAAGACCGTAAGTATTCCTCAGAACCTTTCTCTCGAAAACGCGTAACGCCGACTCATCAGAAATTGCCATCGTTCATGTCTCTACACCATATAACAGGACGGGGTTGATGATTGACTTGTAGAGTTTGCTCTTTGTTCGTTGAGAGAACACTTTACTTCTCAATTGCCCGCTCAGTCAGAAGTACTTAGTACCTGTTGGCAAGACTTATTCTGCGATGATTTCGAGGCTGACATTGTTATTGGTACTGATTCTGAGATAGGCGAAATTATCTACGATTTCAATGTTATAGCTGTCAACGGTGAAGTGGAAGCCAAGGCGCGAGTGCGATGATATGAGCTACAAAAATTGTTGCCACGACGGTTGCGTCCACGAAACCGGAACGGACGCGCGTTTTGTATTCAGCCAAGGACAGGAGCTTTAAAGAGACACACGGTGAGGAATTATCGGTTCAGCCGTTTCAGAGAAATTTTGTGCGGTCTAAAGTTTTGGGTATCGATTACACTTAATTAAAAAATCTTACAGATATGGCCATGACCCCAAATTTACTCGCATTTGCGGGATAAATTTCATTTTCGGAGAATATTATAAAATATATTTACTTTCGACATATTTACATATATGCAAAAAAAAAAAAAAATCGAAATTTGAAAATTCCCAAGTGGATATAACTCCTTACAACTAGTTTCTTCCCGGGTACTTCTATATTTCCGGGCTACTTGATACAATAATCAATTAAATTTCAAATTCGTTCATTATAACAATTTTAGAACGAAATTTCTAGTACCAAATACCACCACATCTCTTTATGATTGCAACAAAAAAAATCTGTTTGTAACACCATTTTGTATAAATTACATTTCATAATTAAATAACAGTATTTGAATGATACATTTAAGCTCACATATGTATGTGCTAATCTGCTTTTGTAGGATCTGAAACCCTGAAATGTTCATGTGAAACTGAAATGAAGCACACGAGTGCACGCGCAAAACCAATTGTGCCGAATAACAATTTAATTAAATGTAAGGCTTATCAAATTATTATAATCGATAATAGAATTTCGAAAATACCAATACATGCAAATTCAATATCATTGAAATTCAAATCAACCTGTTGTCATTCACATGCTACGTACCACAGTTCATTAGAGGGAGGCAGCAAACTGAGCCATCGAAATTATGGGTTAAACAGATTATATTTTAAGTGAAAATATACTAGTTTACTTGTTATTTATATGGAAAACTATAATCCAAAAAAAAAAAAAAAAAAAAAAAAAAAAAAAAAAAAAAAACACTGCGTGCATGGTTATTTTTCTCTTAGTATGTATGTTAACCCATAAATTGCTGAGATAGGTTAATTTTTTATGGCTCGTCCTAATGCTTTTGTACATATATACAGGTATATGTATATAATGCTTTTTTGGACATACATATCGTCACCTGAAATGTAAAATAACGTAACAACATATTCGTAAATTTACAGGGGAAAGAATGAAACACCTAATAAAATGGAACATGAGTGAAATTAAATTTAAATATTGCCTAAAACTGGATTATATCTGATAGCATAACCTTAAAATGTTGCATAT